ATCTATCTATCTATCTATCTATCTATCTATCTATCTATCTATCTACCTATCTATCTATCTATCCTATCTATCTATCTATCGTGCCATAAACTAAGGTTCTTACCTAACCACCTACCTACCTACCTACCTATCTAATTATCTATCTATCTATCTATCTATCTATCTATCTATCTATCTACCTACCTACCTACCTACCTACCTACCTACCTACCTACCTACCTACCTACCTACCTACCTATCTATCTATCTATCTATCTATCTATCTATCTATCTATCTATCTATCTATCTATCTATCCGTCCGTCCGTCCGTCTGTCTATCTGCCTGTCTATCTATCTATCTATCTATCTATCTATCCATCTAAAATGCATGCTGTGTACAACTCTAAACATTGTACTCTGAGACTGTGCGGAGATATTAAATGACATACTAAGCAGCTATGGAAAATGTCATTACTTTCATGCGTTATCGATATCCTATAAAACGGACAACAAATTCAACAGGAATACGCGCGAACTGAATTAACTGTGTGTTGTATGAGGTTCTGTTCAACTTACACTTTTTTCCTGTGCTGAACATATACTGTACCGAGCCGTATCTTGGGTCCGGTACAAAGAAGCTATGTATATGTATACTGACAGAGTCATGGGCCCCTGATACCGATAAAATCATCGTTCAATTTTTCGAGTGTAGAATCCCTGAAAGAGCACTCCTCAATGGAGCAATATCAATATGTAGACGGTTTTCAAAGCTTTCACACCGGTTTGAGGCTAAGATGTGCGGCCTGTCTCTCCTTGCAATATTTACTTTTTGAGTATATACATTATGACATACAACACTCGTTTTGTATTCCAAACGAAAAAGTAGTATAACGGCACCGGGGCCTTTGACAACAAAACTCAGTTCCAAGCAAGCGAGACTCAACGCTACTAAGAGCGTTCTTGTTTGTAGTGGTCTGTGATGTCACTTTTGAGTCTGACAGATTCTAACACCACGATGATTCCAAGCCGTTAATTGCAAAGCAACAACAACAAGATGCTTTTGTTAACAATAAAACATTACATTGAAGAGGTAAAACAGTGAATAGATGATAATTAACGACAAAAGCACTTCCCTGTGCTTGGCTTTTGTTTTTGCTTCCCGCCTGTTCTTGTAAGGCTTTCGATACCCAGGTGAGAGGCGGGGGAAGGGGACGGGGAATTACATTTTTTACCGTTCATTAAGAGAAAATACGCATTCATTTGCGTGAAGCGGCGACTAATAGTGCGATGATACATTCATTAGCGCGAAAAAACGAACATTTGCGCATAAACCAGATTCAACAACGATTTTTCCATTTTAATCAACATTCAATAACATTTCGCTCTCTATTTCGCAGCACTCTCCACTATCTAAACGACTGGAAAAAGCTAAGACCTGACCGCAGGCAGGTGAATGCCATTTTTTGTTGATCGCAGCATTCGAAACGCAAAATAAAACTGCCCAAATGCTTCACTGCAATGTAGCTTCTACTTTTCTATGTGAATTATTGTGGCAGAGAACTTTAGCCAAGAAACATTGATCTTTTTTTCTTTTTTTTGGCAGTACCTGTACCCACAGAGGTAAAAAACAAGGACGATGGCAGTGACATGCTCGAAAACCACGAATCATTCATCGTTGACCATATCACTGCGCAATTTGATCAACTGCGCAAACTTCGAGAGGAATTACACGACGCTTTTCTACGCTGGATACCAATGAGAAAACGCACTAAAGAACAATTTGAAGAACTAGCCATAAAGGTACATGAACATCACAGAAACATGAATATCTCAACCATAACAGGAGCATCCATGGGTACCATAGGAGGGATCCTGTCAGTTGCGGGCCTCATTGCTGCACCCTTTACATTTGGGGCAGGGATCGTAGTGTCCCTTGTTGGGGCAGGAATAGGTGGCGCGGGGGGACTGGTCATGTCTGGTTCTAAAGTCCTTGAGATAATCTTAGAAAAGTTAGGACTCAAAGAAGTGCAAGCGGCAATTGAGGACGATCGTGAAGCTTGTAGTGAGCTCCAGGAACAGTTAGACTCCTTGGAGAACTTCATCTCTAGCTTAGCAGAGTTCCTTAAACCGCTGCATGATGACGCGGTTTTGCTCAGAGAATTAGAAGGAAGTGGATTTGAATTTCTTAGTCAGCGGATATCCTATGAAGAGATCGGCACGTCCACCGAAGAGATAGTAGAATTCGGTGCCAGGTTCTTCAGAGCAGCCACTTCTGCAGCCACAATATCCGCATCAGCGGCCGGTACTGCAGGCGCTGTAGCCAGAAGTGCGGCTATTGCGGGGACGCGCGCAGCAGACGTTGCTGGTTCTGTAATCAGCGCCGCTCTGTTGCCGCTGGATATCACGTTACTTGTCAAATCATCTTTGGAGCTGCATCGTGGATCGACATCTGCTGCTGTACAAGATATCCGGCGGATTCTTGACGAACTTGAATGCCCAGATAGAGCGGAGATCGAAGGTTTGGTGGAGAGCTTCATTGATGAGAAATTTACCGAGGCGTACAATAAGATGGACCATGATAAGGAACAGGAGCAGAATCGAGACAGTGATGATAGTAACGAGCAGGATAAACAAAATGATGACGTAGATAAACGACAAGGAACAGAAAAAGAAATATTACTTCCAAGTGATAGTTAACACAAAAACAAAAAGGTTTTGAAAATGATAGAGATATTGCTGCAGACGACGCTGTTACAATAAATAATAAATGCACGTCAAATTTTCCCCTTCCAGGATGTAACGTTTTGACTCACGCAAAGGAAAAAGTTATACATGTTGTAGTAAATGTAGTAAGTGTATCGTGTTAATGCGAAGAGTCAATGCAAATAATATTAAAATGTGTATCATAAATGACTGGTTAAGTTTGGTGAACCTACGATCCCATGAGTCCATAAACACTTATACAAATACCTAGAGAGGGCGGAATAGCTTCCACCTACACTCTCTTTCCTTATTATCCCAGAGCGGATTAGGGAGACTACTCTTTAACCCCTTAAATCCTAATATCAAAATTCAAATTCTCATTTGTTATCCCTATACGTTTTCAATAGAAGTAGTGGGGAGAATTTGTTGAAGTATCAATTGGATTCATCTTGTATGATCATGCCCTTAATTCTCATGACCACTCTGTTTTATAAAGCAGTGATATTACAAGGAGAAATTTGACGCTGATCACTCTTAGGGCTTAAAGAGTATCTTTCGTGTTTAAGTCTCCCCCCAAAACTGGAGGACCGTTGCGTGACGACAAAGAGAACTGATGAATACTGAGACTGGGTCACGAAACCGCGTAAAGAAAGGATCATTTTGTCTTAAACATGTTCAGCGTTTGAAGGACTCAGCGGCACATCCGCAGCCAAACTTCCCTCAAGTGCGTCCCCCCGCCCTAGGATAAAAACATGCGTTTTTTTAACAGTACCCTGGTGCTAGTTTCGCTTCACCGGGAATCTTAGATTTCCGCTTAATTGTTACTTCTTATGTTAGCAGGTGTGTTAGCCAATAACAAAAGCGGTCGCTGCAGTTTACAGTTTCTGAAGGTGAGTTGGTGAAATCTTGCCTTCTGACTCCGGTAAGGGCGCTGATTTCAAACTATTCAGGGCAGGATATCTTGTTACTTGATCAGCAAAAAAGGTTTTTAAACTCAACTAATGGGGAGGCCCTTCCTTTATTCAGTTATTGGCCAAAATCGAAGTTCTGCACGTTATTTTGGGCATGAAACAACCGCTCCACCTTGAAACTACCTCAAGTAGGTCTGGATCCGTTACGGTTTATATACAAAGCTTTACATCTGAGCCGAAGATAAAGTATCTGTGCGGTAAAAGGGGGTGCATACACCCCTTCTCCCTTCCCGAGCAATCCCCTTGCTAAACCCATCTCTGCTTTTTCTGTCCCAAAAGCAGTTTGCTCCTCATTTTGCTGGATGCACAGATTGATTTAATAAGGAGGGAGGCCAGGCCGACATCTATAATATTGGTCTAACAGAACTTTAATCATATCAAAAACTAAACTTATATACAAGGATGAATAATTACAGGAAAGCTAAACATGATGTATCAGTCACCTTTAGAAAAAGCCATAACTGCAAAATAGAATTCTAAGATGACGCTTACTGTAAATCAGTGAAACCATGATTATCACATTATACTAATAACATTCCTAAAGGAAAATGTCTTCATAATTATGTAGCTGTATGTTTAGTTATCTAAGTTGAATATATACAAATGTACATCAATTTGCTCCAGTCTTCATTATGGGTCATTAATACACTTTTTTTTTTAAATCACACCCTGTGGCTATGTATAGTTGCTATAGTAGTGACCAAACAAATTTTCTCCTCTCCCAAAAACCCACACTATTATTAAGAAAAAAAAAAAACAATACATAAACGGAAACCTAAGAGCTTCGAGATTGCTTAGAAGTTACCTGATTGCGGAACTCAAAAAACTTAACTTCTTTTAAAAAAATCGAAAATATAATGTCCAAGAATGTAGCTCAAATAATTGCTGTTCAGAAAAATATATTTACACATGCTTAGATAAATACTTTATAGTTTATTTTCCTTGCTCTTGAGAGATTTTTCCCTTGCCGGGTTATTTAGTTATCTCTAAGGCCTAAGATTTGTTTCTTCTGCAGTTATTACGTGTGAGTGCTGCCAGTGAAGCGTTTTATACATCCATCAGTTATCTTATTGAGCCTTAAGTTTAGAAAAAGCAACATTGAATGATCTTTAAGTTGTTTTGTTTGTAGTTAGTGTGGTGTTAATCAGTTATCTGATTAAAAGCGAGGTTTAATCTGTTTAGTTCGCAAAAACCTTGATTGTGTTGGTTGCCAGGTAACAACTTCGGAATCTCAATACATCCTAGCGACTGAAGGTTGTTGATCCAAAAAGTGAGAAACATACTTTACAGTTTATGTTCATTGAGTTTAGGAGATTTTTCCCTTTATCAGTTATGTTGTTATTCCAGAGGTTTAAGCTGTTTAGTTTGCAGTTAGTGTGTGTGAGTGCTGTACATAAATGTTTAACTGCTTCATCGGTTATTTTGTTACCTAAGAGGTTTAAGCTGTTTAGTTTGCAGTTAGTGTGTGTGAGTGCTGTAGATAAATGTTTAACTGCTTCATCAGTTATTTTGTTAAACCCGAGGTTTAAGCTGTTTAGTTTGCAGTTAGTGTGTGTGAGGGCTGTACATAAATGTTTAACTGCTTCATCAGTTATTTTGTTACCTAAGAGGTTTAAGCTGTTTAGTTTGCAGACAGTGTGTGTGAGTGCTGTAGATAAATGTTTCACCCCTTTATCAGTTATTCGGTTACTACTAAGGTTTAATCTTTTTAGTTCGCAAAAACCCTGATTGTGTTGGTTGCCAGGTAACAACTTCGCAATCTCAATACATCCTAGCGACTGAAGGTTGTTGTCGGTTAGATCAAAATCCAAAATTCCTTCAACAGATTTAAGTGCATGCACTAATGCTAAACAGTCGAGAGGTGACAGGTTACACCGCCTAAAATCAAGCGCATTACAACCAACTTTCACCAGTTTCTTTTGAACTTCTCGATCAGAGGCATTGTTCTCATACATGCAATTGAATAGCGTCACCACTAAATCCCCGTCTTCATCAGCTGGCCAACAGGTCCGCGTCTCAGTTCGTTCCTCTGAATCTTCATTCATCTTGATTTCAACTTTGTCGGTAACAGTTTTTGAGGGAAGGAGGTTGCTGAAAATATCTGTTGATTGTTCTCCTTTTTCAGCCAGTAGTCCAGCCACAAACTGCATCACAACCTTCCACGCGCCATCCTGGATGTGATCAGAAACAAACTTCTGCAGGTCTTCGGAACTGTACGTGTCCACCAAATACTTCGCCGCCAAGAACTCCTGTATCGTCAGGTGTAAAAAGCAATATTGCGGTCTTGGCTCAGCTAAAGGACGGTCTCTATTATCAGGTAAACGGTGAAACAAGCCATTACTCTCTAGGTCTTTAACTTCGTGTGATTCAAAAATTAGTTTTCCCTCTTTAATTCCATCGAAGGCAATCTTTCCCAGACGTGCAAACACATCTTGCACATCGGAGGAAAGTTCCTTAAACTTCTTTAGAATAAATGGTTGACCTTCGGCTTTATCGTGGCGATATTGATTATCATCGTAACTAAAGTAAAACATCTTGAT